CGTCGGTTTGGGGATGGTTGGTTGTGCTGAACCGCAGTTCTGTTCCTGCTCCTTTGAAGAGCTCTTGCCAGAAGTGACTAGTGAAAAATGGGTCTTGGCCAGAGACGATTGCGCCAGGTAGGCCATGAATTTTGTAAATCTGGTGCAGATAGAGCTGAGCCACTGATGCTGTTGTGTACGGGAGGGCCAATGCCAGAAAGTATGCAAACTTTGTTCTTTTGTCCACAATGACTAAAAGGCAGTTGAACTTACTGGACTGAGGCAGACCATCAACAAAGTCCATGGATATCATATCCCATGGCTATTTGGGAATTGGAAGAGGTAAGAGCAGTCCTGGCGAGGCTGCGCGGTCCGGTTTGGCTTGCTGGCACACCTGGCAGTAGCGCACGTATTGTCGGATGTGTGCTTTCATCTCGGGCCATGCAAACAGGCGTCTGATGTGTCGATATGTGACAGGGAAACCTGAGTGGCCACCGATAGGGCTGTCGTGGAATGCTGAGATGATTCTTTGTTGAATATGTGTGCTACCACCGAGCCAGATTCGATCACGAAAACGAATGATACCTTGCAGCAGGGAGAAGCGTTTCTTGGGATCTTCCTTGATCGCTAACTATTCTAGGAGACGCGAAGCTTGTGGGTTGTTCATGTAGCTAGTGACCACGTCCTTGAGCCACGCTGGGCGGCAAGAGGTGATGCTAGCAAGCATGTCAGTTGGGTTCGCTCTGGACAGAGCATCAGCGCCTGCATTTTCAACGCCTTTTTGTAACGAATGCGGTAGCGCAGTCCCAAAAGTTTGGTGAATGCTTTCTGTTTCCACGGCGTGGTCAGCCTTTGTTCTTCCAAGTGGACCAAGCTTCGCTGATCCATCAGGATGACAAATTCAGCTTGTTGCAGATACGGACGCCATTGGTCGACAGCCACAATGATTGCCAAGTACTCTTTCTCGTATGTTGACAAGCCTTGGTATCATGGGCTGAGAGCTTTGGTCATAAAGGCTATTGGGTGGCCTTGTTGGTGCAGAATAGCTCCTATGCCCCGTTCACTTGCGTCTGTTTCCACTGTAAACGGCTGCTGAAAATTGGGCAGCGCGAGTGCTGGAGCTGATATGAGCTGTTGTTTGAGCACTTGGAAGGTTGTGTCAGTGGTGGAAGTCCAAATGAATGGTGTCCCTTTCTTGAGAAGATTGAATAAAGGCTTCGCTATCACTCCGAAATTTCGCACAAACCGACGGTAATAGTCGGCAAGCCCCAGAAAACTGCTTACTCCCTTGACATCCGTTGGCGCTGACTAGTTGGCAACTGCATTGATTTTGGACGGGTCGGTGGAAACTCCCTGAGCACTGATGGTGTGTCCTAGATACGAGATTTGTTGCTGTCCGAAAGCACACTTACTGAGCTTGACATACCAGTTATCTCTTCGGAGCAGAGTGAGGACTTGGCGTAAATGATCGATGTGTGCTTGAAGAGTAGCGCTGAAAACCAATATATCATCGAAGAATGACACCACACAGACGCGGTTGACCGGTTTCAGAGTGGTGTGACTGCACCAATGAAAGTTGCCAGTGCACCCGCTAGTCTAAATGAGACCACCTTGAACTCAAAATGCCCCTAGTGTGTTTGAAAGGCGGTCTTGTATCTTCTCCTGGTGCCAGCCGAATTTGGTGGTATCCTGCACGAAGATCCAGCTTAGAAAACCAGGCTGCACCGTGGAGCTCATCCAAAAGCTCTTCTATAATGGGTACCGGATGCTTGGCAATGACAGTAAGAGCGTTCAGGTGTCTGTAATCGATGCATAACCTCCAGGTTCCGTCTTTTTTCTTGACTAGTATCACTGGAGAAGAAAAAGGCCGGTGCTCCTCCGAATGATACGCGATGTGCGCAGTTCTTCCACTTGTTTCTCAATCTCTGACTTGAGTTCTGGTTTGTGTCTGTACGGTCGTACATTCACTGGCTGCGCTCCTGGAATAAGAGGAATTATGTGGTCACAGGCACGTCGGGGAGGTAGCCCAGTTGGTTCAGTGAAGACATCAGAGAACTCATCGATCACTTTCTGAATGCAGTCAGGTATTGGGGTAGATGCTTCCGCATCAGGGATGACCATACACAGATGAATGATGTGGGAGATTGGCCCTTGACTACAGAGCCCTTGTAGTTGCACATAGTTGATTGCTTCGCAATAGGTTGATGATGCATATTGGCCTGTGAGACAGAGGGGTCCTGCTGGGGTGGATATCTCCAAGAAACGTGCACGCCAATCGACCACCATAGGGCTGTGTAACTCGAGCCAGTCCATTCCCAAAATTGCATCATATGCCCCAAGAGTGAGTACTTTCAGATCAGTAAAGAACTCATGGCCTTGAGTGTACTAGGCACAGCTCGGAACAAAAGTAGAGCAGATCAACTCACCCCCATCAGCCGCACGAACACGGCCAGGCTTGGGCAGACTCTGTATGCCGGATAGAGATTTTGCAAACTGAGCATCGACGAACGAATTGGAGCTGCCAGAGTCAACTAACATGAGTACCTCACGCCCTTGAATCCAGGCGCGCAATTGAAATGCCTTGGCCGAGACGCCCCCAGTCACAGCAGACAAAGAAATATCCATGACCGTGTCACTTACTTCGCCTGTCTCTGGTAGTTGGGTGTTGGTGGTGCTGTCGATGCCGAACAAGTCCAGAAGTTCCTCGACGACGTGTAGTTGAACTAAAGTGGGGAAAACATGATCTTGTCCCCACTTCTCGCCACACTTGAAGTAGAGACCGCAAGCTCGCCGATATTCCCGCAGTGTCTTGAGCTTGTAAGCCACGGCGCGCGCTACATCGGTACCGCGGCGATTGGTGGCGACTGTAGGCAGGGGATGGCGCCGGTGGTGCTGGCAATGACAGCGGCACTGCAGCGCGTGGTGGTGGTTCTAGAAGACGCGCTGGAGTCGCATGCGCGCCGGCAGCCACTTCTTCTTGCAACACCGCCAGGGCGCACGCCGTGTCCAGGTCAGGGGGGCGTTGGACCATCACCACTGCCTGTATATCGCTCCTCAGGCCCTCGACAAAACGGGTCAGAAAATAGTAAGGATGCATGGTATCGGAATAAGAACATAAATGATTGATGATCAACTCGAATTTCTCAATGTAATCAGCAACTGAAGAAGTTTGGTGGATGGTGTAAAACTGCCGTATTAGCATCTGATGACGGTCACGGCCAAAGCGAGTGCTCAAAAGGGATGTAAAGCCGTCCCAACCGAATTCGTGCAGCCGTTTCTGAACCGACTGAAGCCAAATGGCCGCTGGCCCCGAGAAGTTGAGCGTGGCCATGGGCACCCAAAAAGATGCAGCTATGTCGAACATGCTAAAATACTGCTCACAAAGAGTTTTCCAGAGATTGGGATTTTTGCCCGAAAATTGGGAAAAAATGTTGGACGGGTGCGCCTGACCCAGTCCGGTGAGCATCTGGGTAGCGTGGGTAAAGGGGGGCGGTGGAACTGGGGAGATCGGAAACGATGTCTGGCCTTGGGCCGGGGGCGGGGGCGGCGTCACCAAGGACGCCGCGGGGTGCCCCCGTTGAAGATGGAACGCGCCGTGGCCATTGGGCCCGTGTTGGCCGGTCGCTGCGCCTGCCGCGGTGCCGAGGTGGTCACCGGGCTGCAGCAGCGTGGAGGGGCGCGGGTGCTGCTCCTCCTGATCCTTCCACGGTGATGGCGGCGCCGCCTGTAGGGCAGCCACCGCATCGCTCAGATCCGCGACGCGCCGCTCGAGATCGGGGCGCCAGCTGAGCAGATCGTCGATCTTCGTCGAGGTGGACTGTTGTGCCTTGGTGAGGCCATCGATGGCGGCCTCGATCTTGGACTCGAAGCGCGTGAGGAACGCGGATACACTCGTATCCATGGCTTCGCGTGCTTGCCGAAGACCGCGTGTCTCGATGAGATGCGCCAGGGCGGAGCGGGGAGAGGTGGTGGTTGGTGTCTCTGATACCAGATGATAGGCTCAAAGAGGAGGATCGATATATTAAGCTCTCTGAAGTAGTAGCTATTACACCGATTGTACAGGAGCGATACAGGGATGAACTTGGGTTATGGAAAAGGGGAATAGCCGCCGCCGGGTTGTTCTTGATCCACTGGATGCGTTCCTCTTCCGTTGCTGCCTCCTTAAGTATCTGCCGAGGCTCAGCGAGTCCATCCTGGCCCGTGGACTCGTGGGTTGGGCCGCCTTGGTCTGTTGGGCCGCTGGGCAGTGCTGTTGCTGGCGTGGTCGCTGCCCTGCGGGCCGGCGCGTCAGGAGTGCTGACAGTGTAATGCTTCGGCAATATTGACGTAGACAGCTGAATTTGACAATTACCAAACTAGCCTACTGTATTTGCAAAGTCTTTGCATTTTTTAAGGGAATCTTTGCATTATTGTTGCTTGTATGACCAAGGCTCTAAAGTCTACACTCTTAATTAGGAATGTAAGACTGCAATTATTGTTTCTGGTAGATTAATTCCTTTCCAGAAGAGCATACTCGCCCCTGCGATTCCTTCTGCAAAATCGATGGAGTGGTCAGCTCTTGCCTGCTCCGTCACGGTCCTGATCCTTGCACTCCTGCCTTTGCGTGCGTCCGACGACCGGCTTGTCCCCGGCAAGCCGCTCTTCCCCGGAGCCACCATCGTCTCCGACGGCCGTGACTTCGCCTTGGGCTTCTTCGCACCGTCCAGCTCAGCTCCGGCCAACCTGCACCTTGGCATCTGGTACAACGGCGTCCCTGAGCTCACCGTGGTGTGGGTCGCCAACCGGGAAACTCCTGTCACCAACAGCAGTGCACCCATGCTCTCCCTCACCAACACCTCCGACCTTGTTCTCTCCGACGGTAACAGCAGCGGCCGCGTCGTTTGGACGACGACCGTGGCCGCTGCTCCGAACTCCCCTTTATCAGAGGCAGTGCTTCTGAACACCGGCAACCTCGTCGTCCGGTCGCCAAACGGCACCATGTTGTGGCAGAGCTTTGAGCCTTTGACTACCCGAGCAACACGATGCTGCCTGGCATGAAGATGGTGATCAAGCACGGTGCGCGTGCCGGTGAGCGCCTGGTGTCTTGGAAGGGCCCGGGCGACCCCTCGCCTGGGAACTTCTCCTACGGCAGCGACCTGGCCACGTTCCCGCAGATATTCCTCTGGGAAGGCACGCGCCCAGTGTACCGTAGCACGCCGTGGACGGGGTACAGGGTGAAGAGCGAGTACCAGTTCCAGACGACCAAGACCAGCTCCATCATCATCTACCTAGCCGTCGTCAACGACGACGACGAGAGCTACACAGTCTACACCATCTCGGACGGCGCTTGGCTCACCAGGTTCGTGCTGACCTACTCCGGCGAGCTCCAAATCCAGGGCTGGAACGCCAGCTCGTCAGCCTGGGCCGTCCTCGGGCAATGGCCGCCTTACCGGTGCGACCACTACGGCTATTGTGGCCCCAACGGGTACTGTGACGACACGGTACTGCCCGTGCCGACGTGCAGGTGCCTCAACGGCTTTGAGCCGGCAAGAAGAGAGGAGTGGAGCAGCGGGAGGTTCTCGGAAGGCTGCCGTCGGAAGGAGGCGCTGAGTGGGTGCGGTACCGGTGCCGGCGGTGACGGTTTCTTGGCATTGCCGGGAATGAAACCACCGGATGGTTTTGCGCTTGTGTCGAACAGGACGCTGGAGGGGTGCGCGGCAGAGTGCCGCCGCAACTGCTCGTGCGTGGCGTACGCTTACGCCAACTTGACCAGCAGCGCATCTAGTGCAGACATGACGAGGTGCTTAGTTTGGGCTGGGGAGTTAGTTGACATTGGGAAGCTGGGCGCAAGCCCCGCCAGCGACACGCTCTATCTCCGGCTTGCAGGATTGGATCCTCCAGCTGCTGGTACAACCTAGATCTCTCTATTAATTCCTTTATAAATTTTGAATTGGCGATTCGTATATGCAAATGCAAGTACATTATTTTATGCTAATGTCATGCTTATGCATGCACAGGTAAAAGGACAAAGAGCAATGCAATGAGGATTACACTGACGGCCCTAGGAAGTAGTGTGGTGATTATCGTGTGCACTTTCCTTGCATGGTTGAAATTCAAAGGTATATATGTTCAATTTTCATTTCCAAGGGAAATATTTATGCCTATACTAATACTACTACTACGGCTGCTGCTGCTGCTACTACTACTACTTAGTCCTTGTGCCCGGCCCAGCGACTGACCCCGATATGTACTCCCTTCTTATAATGCAGTGCATACTTTTTTCCCAAAGTCAAACTTCAGCAACTTTAATCATTTTTTGTTAGACTAATATTTACATATAGAATAACAGATTCATATCAGCAGATACTTCATGACACATATTTTCTTATCGTATATGTATGGTATTGTAGATACAGATAATTTTCTTTCTAAACTTGGTCAAACTTTATAAACTTTCACTTCTAAAAAAACTTAGGCACTCGTTATGAAAGGGAGGGATTACTTTTTAAGCCTATAATTTGGCCATCGTGGGTACAATATTTCATGAAATTGCTCAGGCAACACAAAATTTCTCCGAAACATGTATGATTGGACAAGGAGGATTTGGCAAAGTTTATAAGGTAATTTGTTTAAAATAGTTTCCTCTTATTCACTCCATAATTGCTCACGTTGTTGCTTTGTTCATACGGCGAACTAAAATTTATGAGTTCCCTTACAATTATGCAGGGAACACTAGGTGGTCAACAAATTGCTGTCAAAAGGCTAAGTAGGGATTCACAACAAGGGACAATTGAATTCACAAATGAAGTAGCACTTATTGCCAAATTGCAATACCGTAATTTGGTTCGACTACTTGCATGTTGTGGCGAGGGAGATGAAAAGTTGTTGATTTATGAGTACTTGCATAATAAAAGCTTAGATTACACACTTTTAGGTATAATTCATACACACACTACAATATCATCGCACAACTCTATTTCCTTTTCTTACATTCAATTTTTTATGTAGATGATTCAAGAAAACAGTTGCTAGACTGGACGACAAGGTTTAATATAGTCGAAGGAATTGCAAGGGGGCTTCTTTATCTCCACCAAGATTCAAGATTGACTATAATCCATAGAGACCTCAAACCTGGAAATGTTTTGCTAGATGCAGAGATGAAACCCAAGATAGCAGATTTTGGTATGGCAAGGCTCTTTGACAATAACCAGGAAAATGCAAACACTCAACGTGTTGTCGGAACATAGTAAGTAACTATACAACTAGTAGCTCATATGAACTTGTGGTTATACTCAAATCCTGTTTCAGTAACTCTTGAAAGTAAAAAATAATCAAGCAGTGGATACATGGCTCCTGAGTATGCAATGGAAGGTGTCTTCTCTACCAAGTCAGACATCTATAGCTTTGGTGTGTTACTGCTAGAGATTGTTACTAGTATAAAGAGAAGCTCTAGTATTCACACCATGGGCTTTTCTAGTCTCATAGACTATGTAAGTACATGCATACTTTCTCTAAAACTCTAATTTGGGAGAAGGTCACCGAGTTTTTTTAAAGGGAAATATTCTACAAGTGAAATGATTGATTATGTTGTTTTAGTCGTGGAATATGTGGAAGGAAGAGAAGACAAAAGATTTGGCTCATTCATCTATCATGGATACTTGTTCAACAGATGAACTTTTCCTTTGCATCCATGTAGCACTATTGTGTGTTCAGGAAAACCTGGATGATAGGCCATTGATGTCATCTGTTATGACCGCCCTAGAGAATGGAAGTACCACACTTCCAACTCCCAGTCGCCCTGGCTATCTTGTGCGGCGGAACACCGAATTAGACCAATTCAGAAATAACATTCAAATCTTTGTGAATTCTTTATCCGTTACTGAAATAGATGGCCGGTGAAGCAATTTGTTATTTTTATATATCAATTCTATATGTGTGGGTTCGGTGGATATGGACGGTGGTGCCATTTACTATATCAACAAAATAAAGTCTTGACCAACAAAATGGTCATGCATCATTTCTTATTTGGAAGTCATTGTATTGGTCTTGTTTGAATTTCAGTTTGCTAGAATATAGACAAAATCTTAGGATCCTATATGTGAACATATAACAAAGATAGAGAAGGAGATGAACTAAGCGAGTAGCATGTGACCCCATTTACCCATTATTGCAACTTAAACACTACATCACTAGTAGAAAAGGGGGCAAAGGTCCAAGCCAGGTCAGCCCATTAGTCCCGGTTCAGTCCAGAACCGGGACCCATGGGGGCACTGGACCCGGTTCGTGAGCCCCGGGGGCCGGCCGGGCCACGTGGGCCATTGCTCCCGGTTCGTCTGGACCTTTTGGTCTCGGTTGGTGGGACGGGACCAATGGGCCTCGCTCCTGGCCCACCGCCATTGATCCCGGTTGGTGGCTTGAACCGGGACCAAAGGCTGCCCTTTAGTCCCGGTTCATGCCACCAACCGGGACCAATGAGGTGCCTATATATACCCCCTCGCGTAAGAGCAGAGCACACGGCTCTGTTTTTTCTGGCCGCCGAGGGGGAGAGGGCTTGGTGGTGCTCTAGCTCACCTCCTATGCACACAAGGTGTTTGATGGAATGCCCGAGCCACACTACTTAAGCTTTCTCCTCTCCAAGCTCAATCTCCAAGCTCCATTTTCCTCAATATTTGTCTAGGTTTAGCGGTCCGTCACGCCCCGTCCCCGTCTTCACCACCGTCGATCACTCGCGCCGATCTCATCGCCAGCACCACCGTGGTGAGCCTCTTGTTCTTATCTTCTTTCTGAAAGGAAAAATATTCTTACTTGTATGTTTAGATAGATACTTGTATTATTTTCTTACTTTTATTATTGCATCTTATATAGTGCGATGGTTTTGGTATCCGCCCCCGTCGGCCCTCGTCCTGTCTATGATCCGGATGTGGTATACATTATCTTTTCATAACTATTGGTTCATTTATTGTTTATGACAATTATGCCGACCAACGTGACATAGATTTTATTTATCTAGGAGGTTGTTGAACCGGAAATTCCAACTGACCCTATTGTCGAGAGGTTAATTTAGTTGAAGAAGAAAACAATTTCTTGAAGGAAAAATAAGAAAAATTGAGGAGGGGAAAATGATATTGGAGTTGCATGTTGCGGATGTCTTCGATGATCACAAGATCAAGATGGATGCAATGCGCTTGAAGATTAGAAAGATTGGAAAATATGCCATTCATACCGAGGCTTGGTATCATTATGCCGTTGGATCAGTTGTTACCTTGGTTGCGATTATGATCGCATTTGTTTTCACATTGAAATGTTTTACATAGTTTCAATGTATGGTTTAATTAATTTAGATGCTCTGCAGAGCTTTATGTTGTTAGATGAGAACTATGTATGTACTTTGGTTTTAATGTGATGATGAACTTCTATTAATTTGGTCACTTAATTATCTATTCATGATGTTCTGTAATGGTTTTTGACACACTTAATTATATATAAAGCATGCAGATGAACCGGCAATGGATGTACGGTGACAGACACACTTCCGAGTACATTAAGGGCGTGCATGATTTTCTTGAAGTGGCTGAGGCAAACAAGCAGAATGGTTTTATGTGTTGTCCATGCCCTATATGTGGGAATACGAAGTCTTACTCTGACCGAAAAATCCTTCACACCCACCTGCTTTACAAGGGTTTCATGCCACACTATAATGTTTGGACGAGGCACGGAGAAATAGGGGTTATGATGGAAGACAGCGAAGAAGAAGAGTACGATGATGCTACTGAAGATCAAGTGGAACCAGACGATGTGCACGATGATGCTGCAACGGGCGAAGCTGCTGAAGATAAAGAGGAACCAGACGATGTGCCCGATGATGATGATCTCCGCCGGGTCATTGTCGATGCAAGGATGCAATGCAAAAGTCAAAAGGAGAAGCTGAAGTTCGATCGCATGTTAGAGGATCACAAAAAAGGGTTGTACCCCAATTGCGAAAATGGCAACACAAAGCTCTAGGCAGAGAATGTAGTGCCTGACAAAGGATTTGAGAAGCTACTGAAAATATTGAAGAAGAAGCTTCCAAAGGATAACGAATTGCTCGACAGTACATACACATCTAAGAAGGTCGTATGCCCTCTAGGATTGGAGGTGCAGAAGATACATGCATGCCCTAATGATTGCATCCTCTACCACGGTGCGTACAAGGATCTGAACGCATGCCCGGTATGCGGTGCATTACGGTATAAAATCAGACGAGATGACCCTGGTGATGTTGACGGCGAGCCCCCCAGGAAGAGGGTTCCTACGAAGGTGATGTGGTATGCTCCTATAATACCACGGTTGAAACGTCTGTTCAGAAATGGAGAGCATGCAAAGTTGATGCGATGGCACAGTGAGGACCGTAAGAAAGACGGGAAGTTCAGAGCACCCGCTGACGGGTCGCAGTGGAGAAAAATCGAGAGAAAGTACTGGGATGAGTTTGCAAGTGACCCAAGGAACGTATGGTTTGCTTTAAGCACGGATGGCATTAATCCTTTCGGGGAGCAGAGCAGCAATCACAGCACCTGGCTCGTGACTCTATGTATGTATAACCTTCCTCCTTGGATGTGCATGAAGCGGAAGTTCATTATGATGCCAATTCTCATCCAAGGCCCTAAGCAATCCGGCAACGACATTGATGTGTACCTAATGCCATTAGTTGAAGAACTTTTACAACTGTGGAATGGAAACGGTGTACATACGTGGGATGAGCACAGACAAGAGGAATTTGACCTAAAGGCATTGTTGTTCGTGACCATCAACGATTGGCCCGCTCTCAGGACAGACAAACAAGGGATACCACGCATGCACGCACTATTTACTTGACACCGATAGTATATACATGGGAAGCTGCAGGAAGAATGTGTACCTGGGCCATCGTCAATTTCTTCCAACCAACCATCAATGTCGAAAGAAAGGCAAGCATTTCAAAGGCGAGGCAGATCACCGGAAGAAGCCCGCCATGCGTACCGGTGATCACCTACTTGCTATGGTCAATGATTTACACGTAATATTTGGAAAGGGTCCCGGCGCACTAGCTGTTCCGAATGACGCTGAGGGACACGCACCCATGTGGAAGAAGAAATCTATATTTTGGGACCTACCCTACTGGAAAGACCTAGAGGTCTGCTCTTCAATCGACGTGATGCACGTGACGAAGAACCTTTGCGTGAACCTGCTAGGCTTCTTGGGCGTGTATGGAAAGACAAAAGA